TCATTTTCTCACCAAAATTTGTCTGTGGCCCTAGAATCAACACTCCACAGCACTGTCACGGTCATTGGCTGACATGCTTAGGGCAGTGAAAAATTTGAGCTGCCGTTCAGGTTCCAGCCGAAGTTGAACAAGATGATGTTCTGCTTTCTTGTTCCAGCTCTCATGCTGTTAACAAGAGTTCTTTTCCTATTTAATGCCACATTTCCCCCATTTTCGTGCTTTTTGCTGTTTAAAAGGGACCCCAGGTATAGTGCCGAAGTGCCCTTAGCATTCCCAAGCACAGGAAGCTGTGTCTTATGGAGAAAATATGCTTGTTAGACAAGCTCCATTCAGGCATGAGTCACAGTGCTGTTGGCTGTGAGTTCAGTGTTAATGAATCAACTACACACACACACACATACACACACACACACACACACACATACATACATTTCGAGACAGGGTCTCACTCTTATCACCCAGGCTGGAGTGCAGTGGCACTATCATACACACTGCGGCCTCGACCTCCCAGGCTCAAACAATCCTGTCACCTCAGCCTCCTGGGTAGCTGGGACTACAAGCACATACCACCATGCATGGCTAATTTTTTATTTTTTATAAAGATAGGGTCTCACCAAATTGCCAGGCTGGTCTTGAACTCCTGGGCTCAAGCAATCCTCTTGCCTCAGCCTCCCACAGCATTGGGATTATAGGTGTGAACTACCACATCTAGCCAACAATATGTATCACATAAGGTGTCTTTAAATAGAAACACACATAAATTAACGTTATGTATTGATTGATGAAAATGTGACCAGAGGCTTGCAGCACTGTATTTCTGCTAGGAGCAATGGTTCAGTATTCACGAATCCAATGTTGGTGGTGACGTTATACAACATAGCTATGAATAACAAGAATCAACTGCATTTCAACATGGACTAGAAGGAAACACATCCAAATCACAATGGTAGTTGGCTTTGAGGACAGGGTGTGGAGAAGAAAACCAGAGGTATTTGTCAATAGAGACATTTAAGGCCGAAAACAAGCATTACAAAATGTTAACTATTACTGCATGGTGCTAATATGGGTATTTGTTTACATTTGTAATTATTTTAATTTCCAAAAGTAACAATCCTTAGAAGGACATGAGAGTAGGGTTAGGAGATAGTGTTGTAACAGGATGGTGGTCACCATCAAAAGTGTGTTTCCACACACTTCAGCACCCATATACTAAGAGCTGAGTGTGAAATCAGATATGGGCTAAGCATTACTTAACCAAAAACTGTAATTTGGCAAAGTGAAGCCTGCTACATGGCCACAGCTGGTCTTAATATGCAACAGGGCTGTCCTGTCGGCATTAACTATGACATAGAGCTAGCATTATAAAGCTTTCATTAGTTTGAAAGAAGTTTTGTGGATTTATATAGTTGGAAGATGCTGTTGCTTGAAATACTGGGGCATGACAATTTATTTTCCTCTAGCATCTGATACCATTTCACAGCCAAATTATAAAGCCACTCACAGTTCTGTGTCAATTAGAAATCTCACCGCCTGTAACTCTTTCCAACAGTTATAATAGAATATTTTGCTACTCTGCCCCAAGATAAAGCAAGTAGGTCTCAGGAAACTATATTTTCTTTCCTAATTATTTCAGTAATTAAAGTAGTTAAGCATAATCTCCAAATACCTCAGTCTCCCTATGCAAAATGAAAAGAATACTATTTGCCACATGACTGAAAAGGAAAAAGTCACTTGAAATCCCTGGGGAAAAAAGTATTTGTGCACGCAAAGTATTATTTTAAGTAAGCGAAGTAAGGGACACTTGAAGATACTATCTATGTTAATGAGAAGGCAAATAGCCCAGGCAATCCTAAGCAAAAAGAGCAAAGCTGGAGGCATCACATTACCTGACTTCCCACTATACTACAAGGCTACAGTAACCAAAACAACATGGTACTGGTACAAAAACGGGCATATAGACTAATGGAACAGAATGGAGAACCAAGAAATAAGGCTGTACATCTACAACTATCTCTTTGACAAAGCTGACAAGAACAAGCAAGCGGAAAAAGATTCAATAAATGCTGCTGGGATAACTGGCTAGCCATATGCCGAAGACTGAAAATGGACCCCTTCCTTACACTATACATAAAAATCTACTCAAAATGGATTAAAGACTGTAATGTAAGACCCAAAACTATAAAACCCTGGAAGATAACCTAAGCAATAACATTCCAGACACAGGAATGGGCAAACATTTCATGACAAAGACACTAAAAGCAATGGCAACAACAAAAAAATTGTCAAGTGGGATGCAATTAAACTTAAGAGCTGCTGCACAGCAAAAGAAACTATTAACAGAGTAAACAGACGACCTAGAATGGGAAAATGTATTTGTAAACTATTCATCTGACAAAGGTCTAATATCCAGCATCTATAAGGAACTCAAATTTACAAGAGAAAAACAACCAATACCGTTAAAAAGTGGGCAAAGGACATGCCCACTTCTCAAAAGAATTATAGAAATGTTTCAGTTAACCAGAAAAGGGAGGAGAAGGGTTGCCATAATTTAATTATCTGAATTCTCTGATTTGTTATGGCTTAAGCAGAAATGTCTTGTCCCTGAAGCTTCTTAAATATATCATACAATTGGTTGCCCTGTGTAAAGAATACTACTACCACTGATACATCTCATATTTATTGAACATCTGTGGTGTAACTGGTGCTGTTGAATGCTACTTACCCATTTAAGCCTCACAATAGCACCATGCAATCAGGATTCTTAGGCTGCCCATTTTAACTGAGGAAGCTGAGGTGGAGAGTAGGTAAAAAAAAGAATGCAACCCTCTAATGACTAAGTGACTTAATCACTTCCTTTTCATCATGTCAAACTTTCCTGAATCTATACTCTCTGAGGATAGCAACAATATTGATGCTAGGCTATGGTCTGGAATTGGGAATAAACTTGTGGCACTAGTATGCTTCATCATCATTTATCTTCCAGTCTTAGGAGAACAGAAGGGAGTGGTTAAACATAAATGCCAGGCAATCCACTGTCTCTTTTAATGGTTTAATATATGTTGCTGTACCTTGAGTGAAAATCAGGAGTGTGACAATTTAGTGAAGGTGTTTTGATCACGTTAATTATTTATTACTTGGTAGCATCACAAAATCCCCTGCATTATGGAAGCAGTAATCCCACTGGTTAAGCTGAAGGTCCCACCACATTGCAGACTGCCCAGGGGCTCTTTCACTGAATATCCCTAACTCATACCAAGTTTGTTCTTTTTTCCTTAGGAATGTTAACTCTTGCACTGAATATTTCTAACTCATACCAAGTTTATTCTTTTTTCCTTAGAAATGTTATCTTTTCTTACGCTGTGTAGTGGCAAAAATGACTTCTAGCTAAAGATAACTCCTTATTTTTGACCACGATAACCAAAGGGCTTGACTTTTCACCAGTTTCCTCTAAGCAGGCAATGCCTGCAGAGGCCCGATCACCTGCACCTTGACGTCACTCGTGTCCAGCAGCACTTTCACGCGGTGGCTGACCATCTGCTTTTAGAGCCATTCCACTGTTTCTTTGCACGTAACATCACACGTCCCTTTTAAAAAAGTAAAGTCCATACTCACCTACGAAAATGGAAATAAAAAAAAAACATTAAAAAGAACAGAAAGACATCAAGCTTGTTTCATTTCCATAAATGAAAACTGCATTGTATCATTATGAAAGTGTATAAAATATTTGGAAACGCCAACAAATTATCTCTTTTAGTAAGTGCGTTTATTGGCATAACTGAACATAAGAATGTATAATATTTATTCATTTCCCACTGAAAGACTTTCCAGTGAAACTAAACTAGAACACAGATCCAGGCATTAGGCGTTTTCAGTGATGTTCTTTTTTTTTTTTTTTTTAGATGGAGTTTCGCTCTTGTTACCCAGGCTGGAGTGCAATGGCGCGATCTCGGCTCACCGCAACCTCCGCCTCCTGGGTTCAGGCAATTCTCCTGCCTCAGCCTCCTGAGTAGCTGTGACTATAGGCACGCGCTACCATGCCCAGCTAATTTTTTGTAGTTTTAGTAGAGACGGAGTTTCACCATGTTGACCAGGATGGTCTTGATCTCTTGACCTCGTGATCCACCTGTCTCGGCCTCCCAAAGTGCTGGGATTACAGGCGTGAGCCACCGCGCCCGGCCTCAGTGATGTTCTATGGCTGAAAAGGTGGCTGGTGAGGAGAACCAGAGGCCTTGTCCATACTTGCAGTGGGACTCAATATTACCCTGCTGGGCAAAATAAATAGCTAAGAGATGCAATCATGCTATGACTTAAAAAAAGCCAGTAACACAAAAGGTGCCAGATAGCTCACTGGTTGAAAATAAGAGCAAACAACACTACTGCTCCCATTTACCAATATGCTCTGAATCTAAAATAAGCCCTGGCAGCAAACTAAGAATGACAGCCTATTTCCTGTGGTTTATTAAATTTTGGCCCCACAGATAAGACTGCCAGAAAAGCAGCTGTAGTTTAAGTGGTCTGGACATTTACTCATCTGAGCATAAACAACCATCAGCTCATTCAGATCACTGGTTCCCTACTCAGCTGTTGAGATGAGGGCAGGGATGGGTCAATCTAGGCCAAACATAAAAGGAGTGAACTGGGGTGAAAGACCGCAGGCAGCGATGGATTCCCTGAGTCACCAGGACCCTCAGAGGCTTAAGGCTCTAAACAGAAGGTTCCAATGTCAGCCTCAGCACCATTGCCGTGACCTCCATGGTACTCTACTGCCAATAAATCCATGACCACTGTGAACATAACCACAGTGTACATTCTCTTAGTAACTGCATTTTTAGACCACACATAAAATTATTAATGTAAACCAAACCACTATACTTAGTGATAAACATGTACTTCATAAATAGCAGGGAATGAAAGTATCCCAAATAGTTGGAAACAATCAAACAAATAAATGATCCTACCCCTAAGTTTAAAACAAAAACATTTAAAAGAAATGTTGCAACTATTAACTAAAAGATAAGATTTAATAACACAGTAAGACACTGGGTTGGGGAGGGATTAATTGCAAAATATATCATTATTTCACAGTGAGGTTTAAGTACTCATAATAATCTTCTGGTTTTAGTAGAAAAGATACCCACTGGTGTATTTTTTTCACATTTGTTTTCCATAATTCTTCCCCTCTACTACATCATATAAAGAAAGACACTAATGTGGTCAAACATTAAACTATCAATTGACAATCACCTTTTGCTTCCCTATTAGGAAATTACCTTCATCACTTAACTGCAACGCAAGAGAATTAGGGTACAGTCAACCATGTCACTGATAAAAACATGAGAAGTACCACATCACATTTATTCCAATCTAAACACACTGTCACAGATGTGGTAAGTGAACTGGAATGCTGGTGTTCCCCAGGGGGTCATCAGCTACGTATACATTACATTCTTTTATCAAAGCTGGCATTGAAATTTCCTTTTCCATATATAGGTTTAAAAAAATAAAATTAAAAAGCCACAGGAGCAACCCTGACAGAGAAGTCTTGCATGCAGTCTTCTCCGGAGAAAGTACGTAATCTTAGTTATCTTCCAAGTCAGCAAACGCTCTTGTACTGTTAATGTTAAAAGTAACATCATAGAATGGCCCAGTCCAACTAAAACAGTCCTTGAGTCTATTGGTCAGTTCGTTAAATGTCAGAGCTTTTCACATTGTTTAAAAAAAAAATTGCGTCTCTTATTATTTAAACTTTACGGTATCCTGAATGCTCTATCAGCCAACATAAATGAGTTCCTTGGCGGGTGTGTTAAATTTTACCACCTGTTTACATCCCCCTTCTTGGCAGAGATCACCAAACCAGTGGAGTCCCAGGCCAAGCCTCCTCTGTAATGATAATAAGTTCCTTTTTCCTTAAATAGAAACAAAACTCCTCTGTTTGACACTGAGCAAACACAAAGCATGCACCCAAATCTTTCTGGCCATGTTGGGGGCACAAGCACCCCCTTTCTACCCCCAAAGAAGCCAGGCTATTGCATTGCAATGCTACAAAAGCCATTTGCATAGCTGTGTCAAAGCCTCCAAGTGAAGGCTGCCTCCCACCTCAGCATCACCATCCATTTGTCCCCTACTCTTGGCCTTGACCACCAAGTACCATCCATTTACTGCTTTAGTATTGGGAATTGGGGGATGGTGCCCGAATTGGCCCTCTGTCCCCATTGGCCTCTCTGGCAAGTGCATAAAAGGGCCCTTCCTCTGAGGTGGGCTGGTGGGCCCCACAGAGAGGCGGCTCCTTGGTGCCAATGAGATGGTCTCTACAAGCCCTGGACCTAGTCAGCAAATCGCTGCAGGAGATGGTCCTCCCGTCTCAAGCTGCCGCCCGCGCCACCGCCCGCACTGTCCATGAAGCGGTCGCAGGGGAACTCGATGAGGTCTGCCTCGCTCAGTGCGCACACGGTGGTGCGCGGCCGGTGCGACTGGAATCCCGAGAAGTCGGCGGAGACGCCGGTGCCCATGGAGCGCAGGGGCCGTCGGGTGGAGTACATGTGGCGAACGTGGACCGGGGCCCCGCCCTTCCGCCGGGCCCGCAGCTTCCTCCGCAGCCAGCGAGACGCCCAGGCAGCCAAGGCCAGGAGCACCAGCAGCGCGTTGACCGTCAGCAGGGCCAAGGTCAGCAGCTGGTAGTCGACGCCGCCCCGGCTCCCGGCCTCCGGCAGGGTGACCAGCCCCGCGCAGTGGTCCCGGGGAGCCACCGGGCAGACGCGACCCCCAAGCACGCCCTCCACGCACACCAGGTAGGGGGTGTCCCCGCGCAGCTCGCGCAGCGTGGCCGAGTCGCTGCGCTCGGGCAGGTAGACAAAGCGGTGGAACTTGGGCTGCTGGCCAAAGCGGTCGAACAGCAGGCGGAAGCGCGCGCCGCCCAGCGGCCGGGGACTGCGATGCTCGCGCACGGCCCAGCGCACCGAGGCGCTGTCTGCGCCCACCGCCTCCACCGTCAGGTTGCACAGGATGAACTTGTTGAAGTCGCACGGGTCGGACACCAGCGGCGGCAGCCCGGCCCCGCCATCGGACTGGGCGGCACGCTCCTGCTGCTCCGTGGCCAGGCGCTGCTTCGTTGTGCGCTGCCAGGGGTCGCCGGCGGGCGACGGCGCAGAGCCGGGAGAGGCCGTTGGGGTGGGCTCCACATGGGCGGGATCTGTCCGGGTGGGACGGCCCCGCTGGGGCTTCTCGCGCAGGTCTAGGCGCTGTGGAGCTGGGCCTGCGGCGGCAGCGGCGGAGGGGCTGGGCTGTTGGAGGCCCGGGCCCCGTCGGCTCAGCCTCACGGCGCTGCGGTTGCCCACGAGCTCCCTGGCAGCCCCATCCCATGCCACCCCAGGTGGAAATCGCCCCCGCTGCAGGAGCTGCGGCTGCGGCGGCAGCTCCTCCGCAAGACCTGCAGGGGGCGTCATCTCCTCCCCCACGGCCGTGGGTAGGGGCCGTCGCCTGCCGTCGGCGGTCAGGTAGGCTGAGGGCGAGGGGTCCGCGCAGGACCCGTTCTGCAGCTGCTGGTCATCCAGGTAATCCAGGTATTTGCCTCGCAGGGCCGGGGGATGGCGACACTGCACGAAGACAGTGAGGAGCCGGCCCTGCGAATGCCAGTCGCCCATCCAGCGCTTCAGGCCTCGCAGCCGGCAGTCGCAGGTCCAGCCGTTGCCGTCTAGATCCAGCCGATAAAGGGCTGGGCTAGCGGCGAAGATGTCCCCGGATAGAGCGCTGAGCGCGTTGTTGCGCAGGCTGAGCTCGCGCAGCCGGCCCAGGTGACCGAAGGTGGCCGGGTGCAGGGCCGACAGCTCGTTGCCGCTCAGGTCCAGCGCCTCCAGGCTGTGCAGAGGCTCCAGCAGCGCGGTGGGCAGCTGGCTCAGCCGATTGCCTTCCAGGCGCAGCTCGCGCAGGGCCTCCAACCCCCAAAAGGCCTCTGGCGCGAGGTGCGTGAGCTGGTTGCCCCTGAGCGAGAGCAGGCCGAGGCGTGGCAGGTGCTGGAAGACGCGCGGCCCGAGGTGCTGCAGGCTGTTGGCCGAAAGGATGAGGGTGGAGAGGGAGCGCAGCGGTGCGAAGGTGGCCGCGTGGCGCAGGGAGGGCTGTAGCTCGTTGGCAGAGAGGTTGAGGAAGCGCAGCTTGCCTAGCTGCGCGAAGGCATTCTTGCCCAGAAAGCGGATCCGGTTGGACTCCAGATGTAGGTAGAGCAGGTTGCTCAGGGGGGCGAAGACTGCGTCCGGCAGCGCCCCGAGGGCGTTTCCGTCCAGCCGCAGCTTGACCAGACTCTCCAGGCCCTCGAAGGAGCCGCGGCTTAGGCGGCCGATCTCGTTCCCGTTGGCGTAGAGGATGCGCAGCTTGCGCAGCGGGGCCAGCGTGCCTGGGGCGAGTGCCTGCAAGAGGTTGTTCCCCAGGTACAGCTCTTCCAGCCGCGAGAGCTTCTCGAAAGTCTTGGGGTGCAGAGCGCGGATCTGGTTGTACTGCAGGTCCAGCCGTCTGAGCTGCCCCAAACGGTGGAAGTCGAAGGCCGTGATGTTGGTTATGAAGTTGCCGCCAAGGCTGTAGGTGAGCACGTCGTGGGGGCTCGGCAGCGAGCTGGTCTTGGGCACGACGCGGAGCCCCCTGTTGGTGCACAGGAGGTGCTGGGCGTGCTGGCAGTCGCAGCGCTCCGGGCACACGGGCTCGGCCCTCGGCGGGAGCGCTAAGCAGCCGCACACCACGAGCAGGAAGCGCACGGCGCGGGCAGCCTCCATCGCCGCCCGCCCTGCGTGCTGCGGCCGGATCGTCCTCTTGGCCCGCCGGCTCTGTGTCTCCTCTGCATTCCCCTTGGCCTGGCCAGAGTCACTAAATGGCCTCTTTGGGACTTCGCAGCGCCGTCCAGCCCCTCCTCCGTCCTTTGTCCTGCGACTCTGCAGGCGGGCTTTGCCCGGCCAAGTCAGGCGGCGCGAGGCGCTCTGCGGGCCCTGGGTGCTACTTGTTGCATTTCTGTAGAAAACTGTTTCTCTTGGTGCGCGTCGGGGGGCAAGGGGAGGGAGCAAGAACCGGCGCTTTTTGTTTGCAGCAGAGTCCGGAGAGCTGGATTCCCTGGCGCGGATTCTCCCCGCCGAGTGGATTCCCCTGCTGCAGGCGGGAGCCCTTCCAAGAGCTTCTCTGGGCGCGGCTTGGCAGCGGAGCCCCGGCGGCTCGGCCCCCGCAGCTAGCACCTCCTCGCTCGCGGTCCCGGATGGGGAGCGCGGCCCCGGTGCAACAGCTCGGGGAGCACGCGGGCTGCGTCCGGAAGGGACCCGAGTCTGCGAGCAAAGAGCAAACCGGGCGGAAATTCGTTCTTCCCACACTCTGCCCGCGGGGACGCAGGCGGAGAAAGAGGAGACAGCGGAGGGAGGACAGACCCCGGCAGGGGGAGGAGGAAACGCTAAGTGGCTCCACGTCTGGTCAGCCCGAGCCCGGGATGCCAAGTGAGAAAAGTAGGGATTAAAAACAGCTGTACGGGTCGGACGCGCTAGGCTGGGGGCGGGGGAGGATTACCGGGCGAGCAAACGGGATTTGCACACAGAGACCTTTTTATTTTAGACGAGTACACCAGCCGCTTCTGAGCAGTGGGAGCGCGCCTGGCCTTCCTCGTTTTTAAGTCACTTGTTCCATCTAGGTGCCACCCTGTGGGAAGTTTGGGCAGCACGGAGGCCGCCAGCGTTCTGCAGGAAGTTTGGAGAGCACAAGGTTGCCTGCAGAAGGCCGTAAGATTAGAAGGGTAGCTGAACCCAGTCTGACGGCTTCTGCTTGGGTTTTTGACGTCGCTGTACTAGTAGCTGAGGAGAGGCACCACCCCCTTTTAGGTGTCTGAAGGGAGTATTTACTTCATCCTGCTGTGGGCTAGAACTTGAAGATATCACAGAACTGGTTCTGCCACCGTGAAAGTGTCTCTGCCACATTTCGGTGATTCAGTTCCATTAACTCTCCTCCAGTAATAGAGCCCTTGGGGTAGGCTCTGCTCCTATGCACATAACAACCTTCACAGACCCGAAGGTAACCGCTTCCTGCAAGGCCCTCCTGCTTCATGCTTGGACTTGCAGTGATCTTCAAAGTCTTTAGGCCCAGAAATGTTCAGGCCTGGCTCAGTTGGGGAAACATTATTATTTATTATCTATAGGGGATGGAGCATTTAATCAGTGGCTTCTTTGGGGTCAGCCCCTGGTGAGAATGAGAATACACAAAGAGGACCTGTTAATTACTGTTTATGGGAACCATCTTGCTAAAAATAAGGACCCTCCCCCCCATCCAAGATGTTGAGAAAACCTAAGTTTTGAGCACCTACTCTGCAACATGTGGAAAATTAAAGGAACGATACAGATCCTCACCTTAAGAGAATGACAATCTAGTGGGAAGGGCAATGCATTGAAAGGCTAGATAATAAGGCAGTAAGAGAGAACACCGCCAAAACGAAAATGGTATTTTTTTTTTTTTTTGACAGGATCTCCCTCTATTGCCCAGGCTGGAGTGCAGTGGCTTGATCTCTGCTCACTGCAGCCTTGACTTCCAGGGCTCAAGTGATCTGCACACCTCAGCCTCCCAAGTAGCTGGGACTAACAGGTGCTTGTGGCAATGCCCAGCTGATTTTTGTATTTTTTTTATAGAGAGGGAGTTTTGCCATGTTGCTAGTCTGGTCTTGAACTCCTGGTCTCAAGCAATCCTCCCACCTTGGCCTCCCAAAGTGCTAGGATTACAGGTACGAGCCACCACACAGGGCGACAAATGATTTTTAGTAATTCCATGTTTCACAGTAATTGCTTCATTTAGCAATTAATATAGGCAAGTGATAGAGACAAGTTCTCAATTTAGAGAAAGATGAGATTGTTGGCAAGGTAGTCAGTGGTGACATTGTGCGTGAGCAGGAACCTTGGCTTTCAGGGAGATGAGTCAAAATGCGATGATAGTATTGGGAGATCAGTACTGAGGGGTGGAGCCATGATAGCCCCAAGGTGCAGCTCCTGGCCTGAGAGTGTGAGGAAGGCATCTAGAAGAGGGGAAACCTGTACTGAGTTTGAGGGGTGAGTGGTGTTACCTAGACAGAGGAAGGTGAGCAGGCACTCAAGGAGGAGAAGCCTGGCAACATATGCAAGAGAGGGATTTAGGAACCTCTACATCTTCTGTCTGCATATTTAGGGTGAGCTTTATTAACATATTATTTAACAGTATTATACACCCTACCTTATACAGTGACTTGAAATAAATATTCCTTTATTCCCCTTTAAGGATTTCAGCAGGCAGCTGATGTAATCGTACTTGCACTGCAACCTCAAGAGGAATCTCTGCCTAAATAAAGTAGGTGCTATACAAAGAAAATGTTGTCTTCCTAGTTCTTGCCTTCTAGGTCCTTGAAATCTGTAACACTAATAAGTGACATACATGGATAGAGCATCCAGACTGAGGCATTAAGCTGTACCACACACATAGGCATCCTGTAGATACTGTGTATGTACCTCCCTCTACCAGGCCAATATGGGCCCTGTCTCTGGACCTTGTGCTTTAGAGGGCCGTGCCCCTCCAAATAAGAACAGGATTTCAGGCCTCAAAGGAGATGTGCACACTCTTACCCATCTCCTGCTCAGGGTTCTCTAGACCCTGGAATTCCTGTGTAACTGCCTCAGTATATATAGGCTGCCTTCACATCTGTCTTCCCAGTGACCAATCATGCCACAAGTGTATATGCTCCTAGGGCCAAGGGAAGAGCAAGGGGGTAGCTATGCAAAAGGAATCAGGAGATATGGGCTGGAGTTTCCACTGGGAGGCCCCCAGGAGACCCCTCATAATTCAGGAGCCAGAGCTGGGAAGGGCAGCCGTGGGCCAGTGAGTGACCTTTCACACTCTAACCCTGGGCTTCTCAAATTTTGAAGACAGCCCTGTCTATGTGTAGCAATTTTTGGAGGGGAGAAAGTAAATGTACTTTGATTTTAGAAAGTACAAGGAGAAAAAAAATCAGGAATTTGAAAGAAAGCGTTTTTTGGGGTTGTTTGTTGGTTGTTTTTTTTTGTTTTTTTTTTTGTTTTTTTGAGACAGAGTCTCATTCTTTTGCCCAGGCTGGAGTTCAGTTGCATGGTCTCAGCTCACTGCCACCTCCACCTTCTGGTTTCAAGCAATTCTCCTGCCTCAGCCTCCTGAGTAGCTGGGATTACAGGAGTGTGCTACCACACCCAGCTAATTTTTGTATTTTTAGTAGAGACAGCATTTCAACATGTTGGCCAGGCTGGCCTTGAACTCCTGACCTCGTGATCTGACCGCCTTGACCTCCCAAAGTGCTGGGATTACAGGTGTGAGCCACCACGCCTGGCCAGAAAGCAGTTTTTAGAAATGTAAGTTCTACTTTATTATAACATAGGCTATGCTTAATTTTCTATAAAAAGCAATGCTTTTTGTAAAAGCAAGGACAGTTGTCTCTGGGTAAATGAATGTCTCTTAACTATGTAATGTTTTTGTTAATGGGTGGATCCAGGCTTGATCAGGTTCCAGGAGATTCAAGTATTGATTGTACTTAAGTGTATAATTTGCATAATCACAACTGGAAATCCAGGAAGGAATGCCATTCATGAGAGAAGACAAGAGCTTTGTCATTTCACTTTTGGAAAGCTTGCACTTTAAATCTCAAGTGCACTGCAGGGTAGTTTTAGCAGTCAGAAGCACAAATACGTGTGGGCTGGTTCCATGACACAAACGTGTGGTGTAAGGGCTCTCAGGAGTCTTGCCCAGGCATGGAATCTTCTTGGGCTTGCCACGGTTGTATACCTGTCTTCCCAAGCAACCTGTGGTTCCCTTGAACTTAAGCTACAGAGATACGAAGGATTCCAGGCATGTCTTCAGCAACCCCTGGAGTTGGCAGGATTTGGTCAGGCAGTGCCCTGATGTCCATAGGTGAGGGGGAGGGGAGGTGGAGCCAGCCCAGTTCTCCTGGAGTAGCATCCTGGAGCTTACTCCGACAGCCTGCAGGAATGGTAGCTGTTTCCTCCCCTCAAGGGAGCCAACCCCTGGCCAGCTGTATGGCCCCTGACACAGACAAAGTAGGAAACAGGAGAGTCCCCACTGATCCCTTGGCATATTATCAGATGCCCCCCAAATTTGTCTTTCTATGAGCTGCATCTTAGCCCCAGCCTGAGAGACAAGTTTCTTTTCCTTGGGGATAAAGGACGTCAAAGAGATACTCACTGGTTTACAGAATATCCACCAATTCTCCATTTCCTGGGAAATACAGGAATGCAGGTCTCTGGCCAGGTACCAGCCTATTAAATCAGAATCTCTAGACAACAAAACTATGGCATCTGTGTTTGTAAGTTTACCAGGTGATTTTTATGCACACTCAAGTTTGAGAAAACCAATAGACAATTCTTCAAAACACCTATATATGATTGGCTGATCATGTAACAACAATAACAATATAATAAAAACTGGCATTTACGTAGTGCTTAGTGAAGGCCAGGCGATGATCTAAGCACTCTACATAAAATAACTCATAACTCATTTATTTCCATAACTACCTAGTGAGGTAGAAGCAATTATTGTCTTCATTTTACAAAGAAGCTCTTTAAAACTATAGGATCCTAGTCCCACCCCCAGAAAATTGGATGTGGAACCTTCAGAATAGGGCCTAGAGATTTTATTTAGCACGTCACCAGGTATTGCCTGGTGAAGACCCAAGCTTAGGAACCACCAAACTACAGTTTTAAGGGCTGAGACATTTCAGAATCTCCTTTGCTGGGAGGCAGAGGATGAAAGAGTAAAACAAAGCCCATGCCTTCAGAGCTCAGCATGGCTGGGAAGATGAATGTACAAAAGACAGTAATCCAGAAGGATAGTAGCATTCTAGGCTAATACAATGAGCATAATATGCTCTAATAGCAATTAGTTTTTGAGAGGAAAATAAGGAAAAACAAAAATGTCTGTGGAAAGCGAATACTATATGTTTCTCAGGCGCTTTACAAAGTGACTGCTTCCAACACTCTGGATTTTTATGTCCGAGGAAAATCCTTATCCATCAGTTCAAAGAAACCTGATTTTTTGAAACCAACATGTATAAACAGACTGTGCATCTACAAGAACTGCAGTGCACTGTAGGCACTTCTGGCAAGCCTAAAGGGACAAGGCAGATGTGGACTGAGTATAATGACTTAGGAAGTAAGGCAGATCCAAATGTTATTTATGGTTACAGTATGGAGTTGATTTACATGTAACTGAAATTTTATAGCAGTAATGTAATGTTGTCTTCCCCTAAAATGAAATTGAGTCAGTAGCCTTAGGAAATACTCTAGGTATACACGTATCTCTTATTCTTAAGCACTAAAATATTTGTCCTCGCTGGGAACCAGAACTGTGCCACTATTCTTTAATTTGGACTTCTACACACGACACTAGTAACATTTATTTAGCCATTTATATCCCTGCCAAACTGGAAGCATGATGGCCTTGTTTTCTTTCATTTTTTTTGGTGCCAGGAACCATTGTTGAACTGTCATAGTTTTAGTAAAATAAAAGATTTTTCCATATCAGAAGGTGAATAATGACATCATCTCTCAGTTTCTATTCAACATTGTACTAAATATTCTAGCCAGTACAGCAAAACAAAATCAAAAGAAACAAAAATGTTAACAGTTATCTTTAGGTGGTAAGAAAATAAATGTTTTCATTCTACTTTTTGGCATTTTCTAAATGATATACAAATACTATGTATTTCTTCAAAATTATTTTTTAAATTTTAATAACTTTTCCTATCTAATATCTGGTTTTAACATCAATCTAAATCTCATGCAGGAATTAGGTGAGGATTGCTCACTTCCCCAGTTTGGAGGAGAGGATGCTAAGAGCTAGAGAGGTTAGTTATCTTCTGGAATGATCCACCACTATAGTGGGAGAGTGCAGACCACGATCATAACAGATGAGCCTCAGCAGGCTCCCCACTGCTATCTGCCTATATGTACAACCAGTGGGGCCAGTTCTGTGCAATATTCAAAATATGTAACAACTGGTACAGCAAGGGCACCAGCCAGTGAGGTTTGGGCACTGACTGCTCAGGAAGGACAGCAGCCAAGAACAACCAGCCCTGCTGTCCCAGTGTCCAGCAGCTTCAGGTGGACTCACCTGTACTCGATTCAACTTTCGGAATGATGCTTTAGATAGCACTCCTTTTTTTCTTGGTACTGTTGTTATTTAAAACAATTCGCATAAAGCTTGGGCACAATAATCAGTAACCATGAGAAGCTACACAGAGGCTTTTGGGTCCAAATGCTTCCAAATTGCAGACTTGCCTGGGGCCATCTTCTCTGAGCCCAAGTTCATCACAGTCATTCAGACTCAACAATAGCACATTGACGAGAGGGTGAAGATTATTAACTTTGACAAAAACGCAAATTTTATTTTCAATTTATAAATCAGAAATGGCCTCCCATTGTCTTCAGTGAGCTGACAGATATACTCAAAGGGAATTTACTTCTTTAAAAGTTCTATTTTTTCACAACATGATCTAAATTGTTATAATTAATGGCTTAAAACCGTTTGTAGGAGGGTACCTCTATCTCTTTTGAAGAGTGTCACCTTAAAAGACTAGCAACTCATCCTGTAAATTCCCGAATATTTATTATCCAAGCCTGGATGGTGCATGGGTCATTCCTCCCTGCCCCCAGAGCTGCAGATGTCTCCTGAGTCTAATGTCGCTGTATAGGGCCAAGATAAGGGTGGCAGTTTTAGACCCATGCCGCCGACAACTGTGGCTTTATCCTGGCAAGAAATATTCTGTCAATCTCAGTAATGAAAATAGTCTTGGACAGTTAAATAATTGCCTCTATACAGTGTAAATACCCTAAAAGTGTTTGCAGATTTCATCAAAAGGCCAAATCTTCTTTGACTTAAAATCAGGAACATGGCAGGAAAGGAAATGAGAGGAAGGAAGCGTCCATACCCTTTTCAGTCTCTGTAATTTTCTATGAAGATTTGCACTTTGATTATGCTTAGTAACACCATATGCTGGAGTGGGACGCAAGATCAAAGCCTCCATGCACAGCACTGGAGCCCTTGCCGTAGGCAGGATCAAGTATTTCTGTTGGTAGAATGCTAATAGATCCATAATGACACTCCCAGCCCCCACTCATCCCTACTTCATATCCAAAATATAATCAAGAGACTTCAAAGATGAATGCTTCCATCATCTGTTTTATTGTCTGCTATAATATGTTGTAGACTGAAAAAGGAAAAGGTGTTGTTACCACTTAGATATTTGGAACTGAAGAATGTTCAAAAGCTGAATGTAAGTGATGAGGTTTTACGGTGTGCATGGCTTTAGAAATT